GCTCATAATGAATGGAATCCTTTTGATATATTGCCGTAAACCATGATGCAGTCGTTAAGTCCAAAAGGATAAGCCGTATTAAGGGCCTCTATCGAGAAATAGACTCATTGAAATAAGCTAGTGGTGGTACTCTCAACACATTCGACAAATTCAATGTCTATAGAGTCTCTTCCATGTCCAAACAACTGGTAGAAATTGTAAAGAATAATACTTGTTTTGTGAACAGCATTTCATTTGCACCCCCTTGCGCGAGTTTGTAGAGTTTGCTTGGTTTGACCTACGTACTGTATGTACGTAAATTATACTAGCTTTTTTGGAAGTAGATCATCGGGATTGCATAGGGGAACGAAGCAGGAACCGGCGATAGAGGACTGCACCATTCCGCCAGGTGGAATCATACGGCAACGTATGCAATTGCCGCCGCAGGCATGTGTGCGCTTCTCCTCTTACGTACAATTTAATACTTACACATAAATGCAAACATAAGTAATTATTTATTGCAGAACGATTCGTGAAAATTCGTGGACAAATACTGAACAGGTAAGAATTAATAATTTTATAAATTTTCTCTATCTTCCATTCCTTCACTTTCCGTTTTCTATTTCTTCTCTTTCTTGTCTTTGTTTTTATCTTAAAAATTTCTATATTACACTAAATAATCCAAATTATTTTATTACTACAGTCATCATACTGACGAAATCCAATTGTGGTAACGAGAAGAATTGTATACGACTTATTGGAACAAAATATTTCTTACCTATAACTAATATTTCTTTATGTCACTTATTTTATTATCCTTTTCTCTTCTTCCTTGTTCCCTTTTTCTCCAGATACTTTCTTTTTTAACCTTTAATAGAGGACATTCCCTTAAAGTTTCAGCTTTCTAGCTTTTCCCGTTTTCGGTTAGTAATTTTCGCGCCAAAATTTTCGCTTGCCCGTACGTGAACCGCTGGTGGTCCTAAGGAGCTGAGTTTGAAAACTTTTGATCGCGCATGAGTGTGGAACATTTCCCCAAAGTTTCGACTTTCTAGCTTTTCTCATTCTCGAGTTATGAATGTTCCCGCCATAACTTTCACGTGCCCGTACGTAGGCCCCGAGCACTTCTGAGCAGCTGAATTTGAAATCTTTTTGTCATACGTGGGAAGGGAACATTCCTCCAGGGTTTCAGCTTTCTAGCTTCTCTCGTTCCCGAGTCAGCGATTTTCGCGCCAAAGCTTTCAAGTGCTCGTGCGCGGGGCCCAGACGTTCGTGAGGGTTGGAACCGCGGTCCTGGGGTGGTACCTGACTGGGGAATACTCTGGCAAAATTTCAGCTTCAAAGCTTGCGTGGTTAGCGAGTTGAAGTACCAGGATAGACGAACACACGCACACACACACACACACACACACACACACACAAACAAACATACACATATACAAACACACATTGGGTCGTTGCAAATATGCGTTTTTGTTGCCTGTTGCAGCGCTCTAGCGCTGCATGGCAAAAACGCATAACTAGCTCCTGCCTTTGCGGGTCTCTTCACAGTTGGAGCGCCAGTTGCTCAAACCGTGACAATTTTTTCATGGTCAGACATCGAAGGAAGCAAAAACATATGGATATGCTGTATGGATGTAGTGAATTTGAGAGTGTGTCCTGCCGACAACACCTTCATGCAAAATTCATGGTAATCAGTAAGATTTCATGCAGTTCCACAGTGCAACATTTCGCCTCAGTTGACGTTCTTTTCCCCTTTGTATAGGAAAAGAACAAAACATTTACTGATAAGTGCGCACATGTTGAATAGTGAAGTAACCCAGGCTGGAACGCACCAGGCTCTCTGGCGCGATCATACGTTTTTGCACTAAACTCGCAGATCGCT